TACACAATGAGCTTTCATACCAGATTTTATTCAAATATGATTAATAATGTAGAGGACTGAGGGGAGAGGAGGGGTAACATTTCCTTTCATTATGCTGTGATTAAGACATGACAGTAAAGGTATTTCAATATTGGGCCTCAGTTACATGACAAAGCATTACTATCATAAAGAACCAAAGATTGGAAACAAGATTTGGTTGTGTCGCTTATGAATGATCAACGAAAGTATGTCGGAGTAAAAACAATTGAATCTGGAAATATCAAGTAAGTTAAGTGATTAGCTTATTCATTACCCTTATATTGATGAAATTAATCCACTTTCAACACTATGCTACTTATGTCTCTGTGCTAATATAAATCCTAATTGGGCAGAATATTGGGAAATTGAACAAAGCATTTTAACACCGTATTGATGGTCATAAAAATGAGATTGATTTACAGAGAGATCAAAAGTGTAAAGCATTGGTAGCATTTGATGAGGTTCTACGTGATATGGCATCTTAATGTCTTGAATAAAATTGCGGAAACATTCAGATATGTAAAAAAGTTTTATCTGATCATGAAACCTCTAGAACCACTTAAATACTCGCTTGAAGGAAATCGAGTTTGTTGATTTCTTAGTTGTGTGTGGTGGTTTGTTCATTAGGAATTATATTAACAGACAGCGGTCGAGGAATGAAGAGTTTTCGAGAGCGAAGCACCGGAATATGGCATTTTGGTTGTCAATTAGATAGGTGGACGCTTATCTGATTAGCAACAGCTGTGTCATAACACCTACGTAAAGTAAACATTGGTATACTTTAATGTAGTATATTTAAGCACTTCTCAATTGTTTGTGGTGGATAATTTGTTGGCAAAACTTTTATTGCAATTTGGATCTTAAGCGTTCTCTAGTAAGCCGCCCATTGTTAGTCTAGTTAATCCGCCCTTAGACATATTTTCAATCTGATAAACAGCTTTCCAAGCCTTTGGCCAATGCAAAGTGAAACATTCTCCTTGTAGACCAAAGTTCACAAGTACGTGGATTTAAGAAATCCATACTCTTGTCGTAATAATTCTATTCTGTACTCTGTAAAGCCATTTCTGAGTTCTATTTCCTTTGAAACTTTTGTCTCACTGAAATGAAGTTAAAACCCCGCAATATGGATCAATTTAGGAAGTATTTTTTCGAATTGACTTAGGAAATAAAAAATTGTAGCAAACTACCGTTTTTTTGAGTCGAGCGGTAAGTTGTAGATTCTACTCAAGTTAGCTTCAAATCCTAGAGAAATAAATGCTTGAATCATAATAATTTAACATGTTTTTTTCTTTAAATTTCAAGTAACATAGAAGCACTTTTATTACCGGAAACGTATTATAATTAACATTGAGCTATCTATAGTGCACCGTAATTCATATTAATTTACATAACCTATTTAAGAGGCAAGAGTTATTTTTGATAATAATGGAAAAAATAAATAAGTGAAAAATTCCATAAAGTAAATAGCTACAAACTTGAGCAACGAAAAAGACTTTGGTTTGAAATGCCCTAATAAAGAAAATAATGACTTAATAAAATTATGTCGTTAAACCCATAAATAAACTTGAAAATATTGGCAATTTATTTCAAAGCCAAAATTCGAATTTCCTTCGATTGCACAACCATCTAAAATCTGAAAGTAAAGCCTTTCACAACATACGAGTTGTAAATTGGATCAAAATTTGTGAAAGCAAGAGAAAAACGTCTGAATAGTGGAAAATTGGCTTTAAGCGTGAAATGCCAAAATCTCACAGATTAGTTTGAAATTTACAAACCAATAAACAGGAGAAACAGTGGGAATTAACTAGCGAGTGAGATTGAATGAAACATATCACATGACAAAGTTTTCAACATTCGCCTGTCAAAATTCTTCATGCAAATTACTTGTAAGCATTGCTTTCAATTGAAATAATTGCTCGAATTTTCTACTGTTCGATTAACCAATTCATTCCACACATCTTGGTGCCTAGCAAATTATCCAGCCTGCTTGATCCTCGAAATGGATAGCTTTCAAGTAAAAATTTAAAAAATGAAAAAATATTAAATTTAGAGAAATTTAAATGCTAACACTAAGCCAATTTAATTAGTTTCGGCGGAAGTTAGATCAGTTTGTCAAATAAATACGCCGTTCCATGAGTTTCGAATCCTATTTGGCAAAAGTGTGTCAACATTGTGTCGTTATCAGCTATAATGCTTAGTTTTATTATATTAATTATAAGTTCCACCATTTTAAAATCGATAGACAGGAAACTGACCAAATATGACTTTTGATAAGCTTACTGAACAGCAAATAGTCTTGTTAGTCAAATTGGCATTGAACATGGTCTATTAATCAACAGATGAATCTAAAAATGAAACAGTTATACCATCGGTGCATTATTTAAGGGCAACCAAAAATGTTTAGGCTGTGCGGCCATACGGTTTATTTTTTTAGATTTTATAATTTCTAAATAGGATTATTGTTTATCTTGACAATTTAGATCTAATCATTTCAATTTCCTACTATATTTCTAAACAACCGGACATATTTGGCGTTGATAGTTCGGGGGAGGGGGTATTTTATATCTCATTCACACAAAATAATAATGCATAATAAACCGACAGTGCAGCGATCTATTTTATGTGCAAATATATATATTTGGATAATAACAAAAAAGGGCGTGTGTGTGTGTCGGAAAGATGGTAATCGCGCTAAAACAATTTTGTTTTAATGCTTCACTTTTCTCCGTTACGTTATTGCGTGCGAGTGGACAGCTCTCTTTTGATCAAGGCTTTATAATTTATATGATCAGCAGTTATTACGGAGTATTTATGCCAAATTAAATGCCCCAATCATGTTTAATGAGCCCTATAACACGTTTAATCTTCGAGTGAATTTTTAATAAGAGAGTAAGATGGGGACAAGCTTTGATGGCAATAACTGTTTTTCTGAAGAAAATTTGTCGTAAAAATCAAGTTGGGCAGTATTTAATCAATTTGAGTTGATTTGGATATTTAATCTGCCATAATAAGTTTAATACAAACCACCAGGTATCATTAAAGACCGTTCTGTTGTGTCCACATTTGTAGGAGGCAATTTAATGAAGGAGCTCGAGTATCGACCATTAGCCCTAAAGATTTTTACCCGATTATGATTGGTACTGCATAAAAGCATAATAAAATTTGAATTTTGGAGTTTTAAGTTGTGAATCGCTCACTAATTGAATATTCAACAATTCATAAAGCAAAGATTCATATATGCCACACCATGATCTTCACATATTGATCTTCTCGTCTTTTATCTTCTTGATATTATAGTCAAAAATATTGAAGTTTCCGCGCGCTATGAAAATCATTTTTGACAATTATTGTAAAATGTTTGCATATTTATATACTAAATTGGCTGCTGGAAAAAAGTTAACTCATGACCAACATATTTTCAATTTATTGACCCATTCGCTGCGAAAGAATACTTTAGAATATTTCAATTAACACGAACGCAAATTTGAATCAGTTATTCTAACCTTTCAATTTTACATTATTCAAAACTCTTACTTATTCATTGGAGCCCAATAGTTGGTATATAATGAACGAAATGATGACATTCAACGTGTCATCGTTCTTGTAAACCCAATCACCTTTAAACTTTGTTATCTATAGATAAAAACGTTAAATTAGTAGGCGTTAATGACTTAATAATAATGATTAAGTCTTTATTTTTAGTACAGTAAGTTGAATTCCATTACCATTTCATTTTGTTAATGTGATGGCAAAAGCTATATTTGATTTGACCTTTATATGAAGTAGACTATAGCTAAAATATTCGGACAATTTTACAGAAATATGAAGCCTAATATTGTTTCATTTAGAATAGGAAACAATTTTTAAAATTTGATGTCATAAAAATATATCAATGTCTTAAATATTAAATGATATGGTCCACTGTTAGGTGGGTTAAATATTTAATTTATTTCTATACATTTATGAGGAGCGAACATTCTGTCCTCGTTTCAAGAATGAATGAAAAAGGTCGCCTTTCTCTGGAATTAATAAAACTAAAAGTAGTAATAGCTTACTTCAATATAAAGTATGGAAAACAGAAAATTGTGATACAGCCAAGTATTTTAGGGACAGTGTTTGGAAGAAAGTGCATTTTGTCAACAGAAAATCAGCACTTTCTTCCAATTAAAAGAGCTCTCTCTTCTTAATCTATTGAGTGAAAAATAAATCAGGAATTTATGTAATTCAACTCTAAAATCAATAAAACTTATCATTTCAAATACAATAAAACGAGTACTTTCTTATCTTAACCATCTCGAATGGTTTAAAGGTAAACATGATTTAAAATGAATAAATCACTACGAAAAATTTAAAATGCTTATTTATAAGTGCCTGTTTTGGAAAGTCGCTCAAGTTAGTCAGTAAATGTAAACTTTATGATTTTAATATTAAAATTAAACTTCTTATAATTAAAGCTATAATTTATTATAATTAGATAAAATAAGAAATCTTAAAGGGCATTTGAAAATATATATCAAGTCATCGAAGTGTGAAAAAACTCTCTATGAATTATTTTTAAACAAGAATATCAATTTCGTTGTTTTAAAACTGGCCAAAAGCCATTTCTCATGTTTGCGAAGCCTCATATTTTTCATGACTGAAAGTTACTTGACCATGGAGACATGAGCAATTTATTATCGATCAGCAAATTTATTTCAAATAGACAGACAGACGTAGTAACATTTGACGTCAATTTGAATTCCCATCGAATTGATCTCTGTTAGTTGGGAAGATGGTTAATTCAATGCCTTTTTAAAATGGTTGAATTCCTATTTACTAGAAGATCAGTTAAACTGATAACAGAAGTCTGTGAACGTCTCTTCGTTTTTGCGCAAAATCCTATTCTTCTGAAAGATTTATTGAGATAAAATCCAACTTTCAATTCAAGTTTAAAGACCATGGGAAAGCACGTAAACCGTTTCAATCTTTAGATGCTAATAACATTAAAACTCGATAGAAATCATACCAATAATTTCGAGATTAAGTTGATCGAAAGACATTATGGCTGTTGATCCAGTTTCATTCATTAGCTTGCGTTTGTTAATCTGACTGCGTTCAACACAATTCCACCGTCCGATTTCCTTTTCTGAGGTCCATGTAATCAGAAGTCGAGACTCCAGGAGATTGGAATCAATCCAACGAGATGTTATATACGTCCCACCAGATTCACTTCTGCTAGGTCTTCTACGTACTCCGTTGTGATACCATTCCAGACTGATAGTGGGATCCCGCTTGGCTTCAGCGGAAGAAAAGGTTGCTCTACAGATGAATTCTATCGGCATTCCGTAGAAAGCCAACGCAGGTCCTATAATAATAACTGTAAAAGAGCGCTGTATTATACAACTTTTATTTTATCATAAAAATAATAAAAATAGGTAGATTTAATTTTTAAAAAGTAATATTTTGAAACCAAAAGATATATCACCTATTTAAATCTTCAAAATTTAAAATTTTACAAAATTTTTACTGCAGTTGTTGTTCTTTTGGGGGTCTTATTTACTTCGCGATGAATTGAAAACGAGCGAAGATAACGTTGCTTTTTACTTGAATGAAAGTTACCATTCAATAAAACGTTCATTATCTTCTAGCAGGGAATTCGAAATGTTGAAAAATTTGCGGTGTATGCTTAATGCACTGTTAACTTCTAAATACCACGTCCACATAGCTGTCGAATGTAAAATTTGTCTACCATATAATGGCCTCAAATGATTTTTCGACGTATTCATGAATGAGTCCCAACGCAATTCGTCATGGTGACTAATTATGGTCGACACTATTATTAATTTAATGATTTAATATTAAACATATTTCGTCTCAGCTTACCTTGGGATTTAACGCTAGGGAGTCCGATGTGTGAATCAATAGCTTGCATCTTCGTCGCAGGTGGTTGGCCTTTGAGAGTAAGAAATGAAAATAATCATTTGGGCTAACGCAAGTTAAACATATTTTGCCTAATAATGCGCGCCTCAACATAATTGGCAAAAGTTTGCTTTCTTTAATATTAAAACGCACAAATTGAAATAATGGATACTAATTAAGATTACCCGAACGTACCTATCCTAATTGCTTATACTAGAACTTGTCTGGAGTTTGATCCTAATTAGAATATGATTTCAACTTTTAAATTGGCAGCCTTTTTTACCCAGGTTCTTTTAATTTCATTGGATAAACCATAACATTTTTTAGTAAGTTTAAAGTGAGTAAACAGGAATAACATGGAGCAGTATTGTGAAAATTTTTGAATTTCACATCCCACCCAGAAATTGTTACTTTCACTTCAGCAGACTCGCTCTCCAATTGAACAGTCCAACTCTTTGCAAATAAAAAAGATCCTCAAACAGCAATATCTTCAAGTATTTTCAATGATTCCTAATTACATGTTTCAGAAAACTTAAACCAGTATTGTTAACATGAGTGACAATTCCAAGCGCATATTGCTTGCATTTTATTTTATTAAGTGAGCATGAATCGCAAGCAAAGGTTTAAAGGACTTGTAAATTGGCTATTTCTTTGACTATTTAACCAATACACCTAGCCAATTCTCACCGTAGATAGCATTGAAGGTAATTTCAAAGGCCTCATTTTGTTCTGTACAGGTGTCGTTGGCACAGAGGGGTGATTTATGTATGGTGCTTCTACAGCGGTAGATCTTGGCATCCTCCATAGTTGCATTTGATATTGTCAATTGACTTACGTTGGCTTGAGGGGAGCCAAGTGCCAATCGAGTATCCGGTGAGAAGATATGTGCTCCCACGGCTAATGGATAAATGAGGTCTGTTCTTTCCCAAATGACCTCAAAAAAATAATGTCGAGAAATTAAAATAACTTTCAAATTGCATTTTAAATATTTTGGTTAAACAAACTCAAAAAATTTACAATTTTTTGACACATTAATTATGAGCAGATTTGTTTGAAAGCATAATGCTGCTAACCTGATTCAGAGAAGATCATTCAACAGGCACAGAAATTAAGAATAAAACGACTTTTTAAATTTCTTTAGTGGGGTTATCAATGAAATTTTTTCCCGTAGGTTCCAAAGCGAGTTTGGTGCACAAGGCTTACTTACTTGTTGATCGATTTGATTTTTGTGGATCGGTTTTCAAAGAAACTGGCATTAGAGAACGCAAGGGTTGAAGCAGTGTGGAAATAGATATAGGTGAAATCCTTCAAGACACTGCTTAATCTAGCTCAACGCGTGTGTTATCAATAGAAATCAATTATCATATTACATTTGAATAGCCTTTGAGCAGCTTAATAACTGTTACTTTTTAAATATTTGTCTGGTGAGAACACCTAAAATCGATGAAATCTAAGTTGAATGAATGATTAATGGTGGCATTGGATTATAAAGTTGAACCTTTTTAAATGACTATCATCTTTTATTAATTTTTGAACTCAAGCTTCACAATGTTTTCCATATTACGTAATTAAAATTTCGACATTTTTTCACGGAACTGAGAAAAAGATTTTTTTTAAAATGACCCCAT